TCAGCGCAGTTGTTGATGAGTGGTGCATTGGAAAAATGAGTGGTGTAACGCATACAGCTAGTAACACATACAGTAACGCGTAAAGTAACGCATTGAAAATGAGAGGTGTAACGCATACAGCTAGTAACGCATACAGTAACGCGAAAAGTAACGCATTGAAAATGAGAGGTGTAAGGCGTAACACAGAAACGCATTGAAAATGAGTGGTTTAACGGGTAAATAAGTAGCGCATACAGTAACGCATTGAAAATGAGTAGTTTAACGGGTAAAGTAACGCATACAGTAACGTATGCGTTACTGCATACGTTACTGCCTAAAAACAGAACTTTTCCGTAGAGCCTTTGAATCTTAGACCTAGCCGTCATCTAATCTATCATGGATATTACTGGTTTAGCATAGGTGTTGTTTGTTCTAGCATAGACGTCGTCAGTCTTGGCATATGTCCTATGTTTTAGCATAGACGTCATCTGTTTTTATCCTCTCATGTCTTTTTTAGCCACTTGTAACGTGCCCTCGAAGTTCGATCCGAACGAGACGCCACGACAATCTCTTCGTGGAATAATAATAATAATAATAACGCATACAGTAACGCATACAGTAACGCATACAGTAACGCATACCGTAACGCATACAGTAACGCATTGAAAATGAGTGGTGATTGCTGATTCACACTACCGTATGAATTGATTTTGATCCGCTCATGCCGATTAACTGGTCTGAGTTTCATGAAGCTCTTGAATTCATAAAAAGAAATGAAAAATCAAAGCCTATCCGTTCATGGGGTCATGCTTTGCAAGTGCCCATCTATGGTTTACGGAAAAAACAGATCGTATAAACTATTCAGTTTCGTAGAGTAATTTGGAGGCATGTGTATATATGAAGATTTTTCGTCGGTAGCTATTGGTATAATATTGGTTTGATGAGTACTTTCGCGATAGTCAAGCTTCCTGTTTCATTAGCCTACGCAAGACGTAACAAAACAATTCATTGTTTTAATTTAATACGTTTTAAATTTTTATCAACGGTTCGGGATGAGTCATAATGTTACGAACAATAATTTTGTGTATGTAGACAATCATTGCCAATAGAGGTAAAATTTTGAAGATGGATAGAGAAGTCGATCCAAGAAAGTATTTCCTGATGACAGCACATTCACATGTGCAGATATAAACAATGATCAGTAAACAAGAAGTAGGGAAAGAAATTAAATATATAATTAATTAAACATATAATGGAATTCTGAATATTAAAAGATTGAATAGAGTTGTAGAAAGACGTTCAGACGTTACGAGCAAGATAGCTTATCACGCGATAATAAATGCGAGGAACATGCCACGCACAACGCGCACTGAAGTGCGTGATGAGTCGTGACCGAAATGTTAATTTCCAGATATGTAAATAAAAAGTTATAAATGATACTTCAAATATTGGTCATTACTGCAAATATACACAAATAAAATACTGCAAATCATTTAAATTTTTTCATTAATACGAACAAGCCTGACGCCGTTATCGCTCAAAACGAATGATAATTTGAGTAGCCATTTGTTAGACATTTTCTAAAAGCACCAGACATTATCCCAAGCGCACGATGCCTTAAATTCATCACTGCGCTTGAAAACCGCTTTAAGTTGATAATTTGACAACACGTTTCTAAGTCCTGATTTTCAGATATGCAAACAAAGAGCGATATATATAGTTAAGTGAGAATACCGGACAATAATTAGACTAGAACAGATAAGCTGTAGTATTCCTTCCCTCGTGTTGCATCCACGCGTCTGACAACATTATTTAGCAGTAATATTAATGTTGTTATAAGTATCATCACAGCCAATTTCCCAACTACGAGTGCTTTGTTTTGCCCTTAAATGCACGCATTTAATTTACCAGACCACCCCATGTTGCTTCTGTTCACCTCGCCTCACAACAGCCGACGTAACACGTTTCGTTCTCGTTTGACTTGATATTTATCGGACTTCGTACAAAGAGTAGGACTTCTTCTATCGGACTTCTTCAGGCAAGAAACCTGATTACCTTAGCATTAGTGGGCAAAATTTGGCTGCATCATTTATTATACACAACAGGTTATGGTTAAGAGAATCACTCATAATAACATTGCGATGTAAGACTTGCCTATTTAATCGTAATGCAGTCTAACGGTATACACGTACAACTTACCGGTAGTGAACGTGTAATAATTAAGTACTGTGAAGAATATGTTATGAACACGTACGTTTTGGAATGCGTAGTGAACACGTTTTTTGAATGCGGAGTAAATAGATTTTTTTAATATATGAAGTAAACAGTACGGTGTGTACAGTATATACATGTATTACGTAAATATATACGTACTTCACTGAGACTCAGAATTCAGGCCGTGGCGTAAGACGACAAAGCTCGTTGTCTGTTCAGCTTCAAATTTGTAATTTCTTCGTCGTTTCTATTGTGAGGATATCGGCTTTTAAAACTAATTACAACCATAAACAGTGATCTTTCTGGCAAAAGAATGAAACTTAAGTGATGCGATGTAGAATGCATTTCCGATGCTATTTTTGGTCACCGCGGGTCGCAAATCTATGAACAATTGTTCAACCTTTTGGTAAACATCGCACAGGGGTAATTGAAACTATTAAATTAATTAATTTGCATTTTATTTTGTTCCCTCTTGAATATTAAATAGCTAGAATTTTATTCGCGTATAGCCTTGAATCAATTCCCATCAAGCGAAATGAAAGTTCTATCTTTAAATATTAGTTTGTAAATTTTTTAGCTGTCGGCAGTAGTGTGACTATAGATGAGTGGGTCGACATAATTGAACAATACATTATATTTCACATTCAACAGCTTTCTTGCCCTATATCTTAACAATTCTAATCAGTACCAAATAAACTTGCAGTTAAGCGTACATTGCTGTGGAGGTTGCGTGTGACAACATGTTAACTCAGCGTATCGGGTATAACGGTGCAGGGTGAACATGAGGTGCAGATTAATCTCGGTAGCATGTTAACCTGAGGTTGCGTGTGACATGTTAACCCAGCGTATCAGGAATAACGGGTGGAGGATGAACATGAGGTGCAGGATAATCTAGGTAGCATGTTAACCTTAAATAACGGGTGGAGGGTGAACATGAGGTGCAGCTAGGTTAATCTCGGTAGCATGTTAGCCTGAGGTTGTAGTTGATGTTTCTTCTCCTGTTTTCTAAAATATCAGAAGACGTATTGCACCAAGAATTATATCGCATGTATAAGGATGAAAAAATTTGTCACGAGGAAACTGCATAGGTAAGAACTGCTCAGACGTTCCGGTTATCTATAGGATATTAGTATATGGAGAGCCCATTTCCGTAGATATAAAACATATTGTAATTCACATATATGAAAAAGAATAGTCTCTTCTCTTTATAACACATACAAATTATTATTTTATTTGTACATACGATTCCAATCATCTATCAATGAAATTTTCGACTGATGCGAAATGTCAGCATTCCAACAGTTGCATCTGCTCGTTACAAATAACAAGACTCTTTCATATTCACAACATCTATATTTTGGTCATAGAGGTTACAAAGTCGCAGGATTTTGCTCGCCATGTCCGTCCGTCTGCCCGTGACTTCACGTTTTCGTCGACGAGAAAATGCGCTCTATATGTCACTCACTGCAGTGAGCTAGGTCTGAGTTATATTTTTTGGAATGTGCTCTGTTTTACTAAGACATGATCGTTAATCCGTTCGTTCTCATGAAATAAACAGCGCGTGAAGCGAAGACACCATAGTTAATTTCGTTCTCTACCATTACATAATCAGCGGGTGAAGCGACACCTCGTCTACCAGAACACGCATTTGCACAGGCATGAATCAAATGATACTGTAAGATAAATGTATCTCGCCACGTGTCATTACTGAAGTTCAGAACGATAAAATTATAACGAACCTTGAACTCTCCACATGCCATTAGTTCATAACAAAATGTTCTTCTATTTATATTTTTATGTTCATGATGGATTTTTAAGTCTTGGTATCGTATGTGTTTCGGTTGTTCTGGATGATGTCAATTGATTTGCTGGTTTTCCTAATAAGGCGACGATGACCTCATAGAGAGCAGACAGCTCATGATAAGAACAATTAAGTACGTGTTCTTAGCGACAGTAAGTACCTTTCGCGTGACGTTGTTTAGTTATTTAGCGTTGACGTACTGCGTCACGACTTTGGAAACAGGAAAATTATTCGCGATGCTTCCTCAGTCAGCCTCGTGATGGAGCCAATATGGCACTTCACACCCTAAAAAATTGATGATGACAGCTGGCATTATTTTGTGCGGTGCAAAGAGTCCACGCAATATCTTTTAACAACTGCATTTCCTATTGACGGAGGGAACGCAGTTTTCAGGCACATAATATAACACAGGAGTCGCACTGCATTACGTCAGCGTTTACAATGAAGTTGTTGAACCTTTTATGACGCTCTACAAAACTGACGTCATCTACAACGGAGTTAAAGCTAACCATTAAGTATAACATATCCAAGAGTACCAAGTCGTCCTTAATCTTTTTTATACCGATGCCTATTTTACCTTCTCATTTATTACAGCTGTTGAATTTCACATATATCTTATTTTGTTTTATCTTTTAGGTTTTTCAGATCGAAATAAAAAATTTATAATGCTGGATAAAATTAAAAACAAATGGCTATTTTTTCGTCTCAAAAAAGTATTATTCAATATTTCTTACGCTAAAAATATATGACAATACAATGATTGTGAATCCACTTGAAAAACAGCCCATAGTAGAAAATTTGTTAGCTTGCAGGCGACAATATGAAGTTTTATTGGCAGCGGCATTCCTTGAAGCCGACGTCCTTGTCAACAAGGCGAGGACTTCACACCGCCGATGAAACGGTGACTGAAATATTGCATTGCTACTGAACCTGCAGTAAATATGGCTGACAGATCTGGTCTATATAACTCACCGAGTGAAGTCTGGGTCTATATAATGCACCACGAGCCACCACCACAACATTCAAGCAAAATTGAACTCCTGAGAGCCACGTAGAACCTTGATGTTAATTTGGAAAGCTTGCGGTACGAGGTATAGATCATGAAGACATTTGTGCTACTCTCCATCTTCGCAGCTGTGGCAGCTGCTCGAGGTAATTAAGATTTTTATAAAAAATTGTACAGCCAAGTGATAAATTATCATAGTGTTCGATTCTTCGAAAATTTCTTTTATTTTCAATCTCGTGCAGTATTTGCTTAATGCAGATTCAGTACATTACTTCACATCTAACGGTTGAAAATTTTCAGCGAGGTAATTTTGATTTTCTATTATCTTCTTATTTAACGATATCTGTCTGATTGGCTGCTCGCGTTTACCGTCAACAGAGTTCAACTACACTGAAGACGTTTCAACTAATCCTAGACCAATTTATGAGACCACCGTCCCATCTATCCCACATGGCGAGACCAACGAAACAACTGCCACTGAAGCACCAGAATGCCGCCCGCTTTGCACCGACTGGATCTTGCCTCATCCCAGGGACTGCACCAAGTTCTTCCTTTGTTCTAACCTCGCCCCGTACGAGATGGACTGCCCTGCCAAACTGCACTACTCAGAGGAACGTAAGAGGTGTGACTACCCTGACGAGGCGGGGTGCACCGCATACCCTACAGCATCTTGTGACAACTCCGACTCTCCACCTGCTTGATGACCGATCATCGTTACTGGTGAAAACTTTTCATATGCGCAGAATTGGTCTTTAAAGAGCATTGTTTCATTTGAGCTGTCATTATGTTCTATGCTTATTATTTTCGAAACTGAAGTCATTGATCTTTACTCTTTTTCATCGCTTTGGTAGTTCTTTTCTAACTTGAGCTCTCGTAACTGCTTTCGATACGGATCAAGCTACTGTAACCGGTGCCGCTCACTTTTCTGTAGCACTGTACACATTAATCATGCAGACACATGTAATGGAAAATTTTCCCACATTTTATTTACGTTATTCACGTATATATCCTCATTGGTTGGTATTTAATTACTAGTGGTAATAATTCTACCCCTATATTCTCAAGAAGACCAATCGATAAGCATTTCTTATTTCGTAAAAAGAATGCAATAAGAAGTACAATTTGCTTTTATATGAGAGTAAAGACTATTTCCATTTAAATTCTTCGTTACTCTCGAAAATATGCGATATAATTTTCTTCTTTCTGACCCGATGTTAGTGAAGCCACTATAATAGTTGAGATACTCTGAGTAAATTGTCTCGATAATATGTTCTCTGGCTGCCATTTTTGGCATTGTTCTTCTACAGAGTAGTGAAGGCAATAATTTAAGGCCATTTCCTGATAATGTGAAGGCAATCTCCTGATAATTTTATTTTAAAATAAATTATTATTTTAATTACGCATTTCCATTGACCTAAACTCACTGAAGAGATGCAGATATTGCAATTCGACAATCAGAATTCAAACAAAAACAATACGAATTTCAATGAAACTGAAAACAAACAATTTCCATGCTTATGGAGAACAATTGGGATTTCCAAGACTTATGGAGAAACATCAGAACGTCAGACAAGTTTTAGTAAATTTCTGCGTCAGAGATTCGGCAGTTCAGAGCGCAGGTTAGCAAACGCCCTACATTTCCAATAGATTCCCAAAAACAAAATTCTCGAAAATACAAATTTCGCCCTGTATACTCGAAAACATGGAGATAATTCATTGTATAGGAGCGATAAAATAGTGATGAAAAATACAGAACGTATAGTTGCTACTATCGTCAAGTCAAGACAACGCTTTCTTTTTGCTCTTTTCAAAGCGCTGCCTAAATTTGCTTAGAGTCAATGGTAACGTGGATAAAAAAGATCCTTCATTTAAAGCTAATGTAAAAAAATCTCTTTAAGCAGACATACGGTTGCCAATCATCGAACGAAGATGAGAACAACCGATCCAGTAGCTCACCTGGAACGTAATATATCTTGAGCTAAATAACTATGAAAATTACACCAAGGAGTACCGAATAAGAAACCAGTCCCAGTAGAGATGAAGATAGTTTTAAAGTGATTCGATGATTTTCGACGCATTTAATGCCCTTAGAGAACCAGTACGTCTGGCGAAATTTTTTGAGTCTGTATAAACAAATTTACTACCCAAACATGGGGAAGTCTCCAGTAGATGGCATTGTGTAGACACTGCAAGAGTAGAACTGACGGAGGATGTTCATAAATCTGACCAAAAACTGATGAGACAACTAACATAAAGGAAAATTTCGTATACAAATGTTAAGACAAGGTGATGGGAAATTCGTCGTTAAAATTATTCTCAACAGGACGACGCCTTAACTCGTGCCGTCATTGCGCTTAAGAACCACATTATGCTGAATATTTGACAATAATTCTATGAGCTTAAATCATAATCTAAATAAATGCAAGCTATAAGTTAATTACACTAAAATATTACACTAAAAATATTACACTAAAATATTACACTAAAATATTACACTAAATAGACGTTGAAGCAAGGCACTACTTTCACACAACTTTCATTTTCAGATTTGCACAAACACAAAAATCTTCAAATATTACTCCATTTTGCCATCGGTTAGCTCCTACTGGGAGAATCACGCACATGTTCGAACACGCTGTTGATGTTGCATCACACATGAAATATCATCGTCATTGACGTAAGATAGAGTTACAGTTGAGTGCAGGAAGGACATTATTAGGAGTCCCATCGAGCACATCAACATAATTTGTGCGATTGTTATCGTTGTCGATGCTAGTTTTCGTGCTACCAGTGGACTGTTGGACTCCACTACAAGACGGTCACAAGCTGCATTGTCGTCACTGCCAGTTACACTCATTACGACGTCATTGCACGTGATGACGTCCGTGGAGACAACAGCCAACTGCATCGCTCTTCGACCCATCTTAGACCTCCACGATCTTCATGAGTTTCACGATCTGCATAAATTCCAGAATCTCCACGAGCTGCGTGATTGCCACGATTTGAACGATCTCCGTGACCTGCAGGGTGTTCACGACTTGAAGCATCCCCACGAACTGCAGTGTCTTCCAGACAAGAAGGATCTCCTATTTCTACAAGATATCCACGAGTACTACTTTTTTCACGGGCGTTGTCCCTGAAGCCGTCGGTGTCCCAAGAAGAAAAGAAAAATACCGTCCACCAGGCAGAGGGACAGAGCGCAAAGGGCACCTCCGTCCACCAGGCAGAAGGGCAGAGCGCAAGGGGCACCTACCGTCCACCAGACAGTGGGGCAGAGCGCAAGGGGCACCTACCGTCCACCAGGCAGAGGGGCAGAGCGCAAGGGGCACCTACCGTCCACCAGGCAGAGGGGCAGAGCGCGAGGGGCACCTACCGTCCATCAGGCAGAGGAGCGGAGCGCGAGGGGCACCTACCGTCCACCAAGCAGAGGGGAAGAGCGCGAGGGGCACCTACCGTCCACCAGGCAGAGGGGCAGAGCGCAAGGGGCACCTACCGTCCACCAGGCAGAGGGGCAGAGCGCGAGGGGCACCTACCGTCCATCAGGCAGAGGAGCGGAGCGCGAGGGGCACCTACCGTCCACCAAGCAGAGGGGAAGAGCGCGAGGGGCACCTACCGTCCACCAGGCAGAGGGGCAGAGCGCAAGGGGCACCTACCGTCCACCAACAAGTGGGGCAGAGCGCAAGGGGCACCTACCGTCCACCAGGCATAGGGGCAGAGCGCGAGGGGCACCTACCGTCCACCAAGCAGTGGGGCAGAGCGCAAGGGGCACCTACAGTCCACCAGGCCAGGTGTTCTTGAGTCGCCAGCGCTGCAGACAGTTCTTGGACTTCCAGCGATGCTGCTGGTACATCAGCACCTCTTGAGCCACGCGCGCNCCATGGTCGACTTTGTCAAACGCTTTCGCGAAGTCCAATACACCACGTCCACCCCGGCCCCCTCTTCCAGCATGGCCAGGATTTGGTGGTGATGCTCCAGTAACTGAGATAAACAGGAACGATTTCGTCTAAAACCGTGTTGCCTTCTGTTGAAAAGGTCAGCGTCTTCCATGTACTGCACCAACCTTCTGGCAACAACCTTCTCAAATACTTTGATTACGAACTGGGAGAGATGCTGGAGAGGCGGATGGGAGATGCGCTGGTGAAACGAGTCATGTTGTGGTTCAATCACCTCCACAAGATCTAAACAGACTTTCACGTGCATCCGGTTGTAATTGACAGGTCAGAAAAAGAACGAGAACCAGCATAAGTGAATTTCAAGCACTTTCTGACAGTTATTGCGACCTATGTGTCATCACTGCCGATTGATGCTATAGAGCTGACATGGAGAACCGAACCTTGTGAAAATTCTGACCACGGCAATGACCGCCTACCTGGCGACGGTGGCAGGAGCTTTGAGACGCGAAAGTTCGAAACGCTACCTTTTCGCGTTCACTAAGTTTGCCGAGTTAACCAACAATTTGCAGCTCGGTCAATAATAATAATAATAATAATAATAGCGGTTTCAGCGTTTATTATTATTAGCGCCTGTCGCCGATTCTTAACATCGCAGTATGTTCACAGCTTGTTACGGTCTCGAACTCGCAACTCACTGCTACAATTCTGCTTTACTTAACCGCCCGGCCTCCTTGCCGACAATAACCAGAAACTGGCGCACAGAGCTGGGATCGAACCCGCGCCTCTCTGCGCCAATCTTGGTACTCTGAACTTAAACCACTGGGCCACCCTGCCCAAGATATCAAGATATTCCTGGTCAAGATATCGTTTGCAACTATTCTTATGACAGTATCAAGGGAATGGGGAAAAAGTATTGCGAAATTGTGATTCGGGACATAGAAACCTACGCTCACTTGAAGAAATTGATGAAAGAAATGTAATCACACAGATTTCGCGCAAAGACTTCTGTCGTTTTAGGTAAAGCGAATTCATGACCGACTATGTCGCCAAGGTTTTAGAAGTCAGCAAAAATCTCGATGCAGGCAATCCCTTGACAAATGAGCTGTTTTCAGTGGCACCGTCCCGCCAAACGGCTGGCAATGGGCGAGGAATTTTAATCACAATGATTGGTATCTCGACCGCACGGTGATCCAATTGGAGATGACCACGTCCTCTATGCAATCGTTTGACACCCCCTTTGTTATAGAATACGATTGAATAGTTTATAAGGTCAGAAAGCATAAATGCGGAAAGTCACTGCTATGCCACCTGTAGCTGGTGGGCGCATGCAATGACATGCTGCAATAATTATAAGTGAAATATTAGCGACCAAGAATCACTCTAGACAACACGCCTCAAGCCCCGGTTTTTATCAGCAGCAAATCGACTACAACCAATGCCAGCATGCGTGCAGCTACAAGCGGCGGCGAAATAACAGCCAAAAATTTCAAAAACTTAGCCCGGATCGAGGGAAACAAAGGTTTACCTTTTGAAAATCCGGAAAGTTCTACGCTATGATCAAAAAATATATGGTGATAATGTAGAGGCAAACATGAAGGTGGCCCTTATTAAGGGCAACACCTACCAGAATTCAAACAGGTATTACGCCGTTGCTACTCTGAAGAATCGCCAGGACGATGCAGAATTCGAATGAAAACCATCCTTGATATATTCGACTCTTCAAAGTGAACAGATCAACAGGGAAAACATCATCGGGGCGGAGAAAATGCGGTCCCTCGACGAACCCGAGGTGGACGAGGTAATGAGGCCGTTATTGGAAATATTAGAAATACGAAAGAAGAACGAAATCGAAAATTCACGGCGAAGTCGGGGCTCCAGGTGAAGAACAATCTCAAAATTTAAACGGTTATCGGCATCAGTAAATTGTTGAACTGGAAACAAAGAAAAATAAACACATCGATGTAGATATGTGATGACACCAGTACAGGAGAAGTGGAGAACTGATAATGAAACCAAATTTCACGGATAAATTGATTGAGATTTATGCCGACATAGCATCAAGCATTTTACAACGATAAATTTTAGATACATTTCGTCAGCAATATCATGAACTGTGCATTGACTGTTAGCTTTCATTGTCACTGCTTGTGCTGGATTATAAGGGCGTGTAAACGAGGGTTGGTTTGCTAAAAGAGTTCCAGGAATCGTCGTGCAAAAATGCTGCGAAGATCGAATTGACACGGTAATATTAGGATTCATGCTGTCTGACTCATTATAATTAATTTTGCATTTGCACGCAAGTCTCAAGTTCGTAAACATACGCTGCAATGTTACGGCCAATGGGCCTACAGCCGAGACATTTAATTGAAGCATTGGTTTCCAATTTGTCACTGTATACTTTGAATAATTGATTAGAAATCAGTATTATGCTAGGACATTTGTTCTGTACTTGAGTGGGTGCAGTTCAAATTATAACAGCTGAGCACGGCACTTTTTCATTTATTTTCACCACGACCCAAGTATCTTCATTTCGTGAATTTATGCCGTGAATGATATTCATTATTTGCTGGCTTCTACCATTTGTCCTTATTTTGCAAACTGCGTGCCATTTTAATTTTTTCCTGCGTTATCTGATCAAGATTTGCTTGCTTGTTCGTAGAAACGCCATCTTCGTTCGTCTTTGAATAACACGCTTTTCTCGTTGCATATTTTTTCGCTCGAAAAACTTTGTAGGCATTATCTTTGTTTTGGATGAAATTATTGGAAATAGTCGAAATCGTTTGTGTTGATATCTGCTTTTTGTGTTGCAGTTGAATTGTGTTGTAAAATAAATAGTGAAACGTCCACCAATTTCATTATCATTTAACTTCTCTTCGAATTTTTACCCTTTTTGGGCAGCATCAATTGCAGAGACGATTGCATAGGAACAGGGAGTGTATCTTTATACTTGAAAAAAAAAGAACTGATTGCAATATATGAATATTTACATTTGTGAGCTATTCAAAGAACAAACTTTCCAACTCCTTAGATATAGACTCCGAAGCGGGACCAAAGTAAGGAAATGAACAATAAACAGCATTCCTTTTATCAAGTTCGCTAACCTTAGAATATTGCTTAGACAAAACTTTTAAATTTGAGTAGTTCGAGCTGCGAGTTTCATCGAGCTGCGTTCATTGTTTTCGAGATATTTCTTGTTCACGGAACTTGGAGACCAGCAGGAGGGATAATTGTCTGAGAGGTGCATATCGGCTTATGTCCTTCAATGTTGTTGACAACTTAGGCGCCATGAGAAATGGATTTCACACAGGCGAATTTTTTTGTACAGAAATGAACCAATCCAATAAAATGAAAAGTTATTTCTGCTTGTTTTGATGAATCACCTAGGGCAACAACTCTCAAGCCTCAAATAATAAGAGAAACTATATTATTAATATAAAATTGGAATAATAAACATAGTGCATTGCACTCCTGCATATGTCGCGTTGCAGACAGCACTAGCTATAATGTCATTGCCATACATTTTAACCAAGAGAGGAACGGATAAGGAAATATTTTAACATGCAAGGACGCCAAGTGAATTTGAAACGTAAGCTGGAACAAACTAAATAAACAAAAAATAAACATCTTTTCAGATTAGCGGAGGCTGATTGGCGCTAAACAAGCATCATCCGGGTTTACTGGAAGGCTTGAATACGCCTTACGAAGCAGCAAAAGACCCAGACAGCTGTGTTAAGACGCAATGACTCCGTTCCTTCTACTTTGTGCAAAATTTTTGAGAGGGCATTTCTGATGAGAATTTCATAACGTAGAGTCTATAGGAGTAGTGTCCTCCTTGCGATAGAGGACGCTCTCCTTGCTCTTCTTATAGTCATCACTTGCTATCTTCATGCGGCGTTCACGCAGCGCCACATGTAGTGTATGTAGTGTATCTCTATATATATTTTATGACAGATTATAAATTCTGTCATGGCATAAAACGCATAATGGAATATTCATATTTAAAAAGAACGTAGTTCCTACTGTGTTTCAATTAAAATTATCTCTGAAATCGGACTAATTTACATGTTTATTATTATTGATGAACTTGTGATACGGTTTTGTGTTTGCAGGCGATCTGCACAGAGGCCGGGCTTATGCATAAGCCTTATGGCTTATGCCGGGCTTATGCATAAGCCATAAGGCTTATGCATAAGCCCGGCCTCTGTGCAGATCGCCTGCAAACACAAAACCGTATCACAAGTTCATCAATAATAATAAACATGTAAATTAGTCCGATTTCAGAGATAATTTTAATTGAATTACAGTAGGAACGACTTTCTTTTTAAATATGAATATTCCATTAAGCATTTTATGCCATGACAGAATTTATAATCTGTCATAAAATATATATAGAGAGATACACTACATACACTACATATACACCCTTTATAAACGCAAACTACTTGAGTCCAACTCCGAGTAGATGAAAAAATACCGTTTTCGGCCATCAGTGCACGTATGATTATTAGATTCCAAATTGAGAAGGACGCTACAAAAGAGTGTTGACAGTTGTTCATATTAGCAGTATGTCGACAATAGTTGTTCACATCCTAAGTAAGACCCTAAACCAGCACCAGCTACTAATAAGAAGCAGACCTTACATTAACGTTCCACTCAGAGTCGTCGAGCAGGTTGAGCAGCTCCAGCATGGTGCGCTGGATCTCACCTTAAGGCTTGTAGTCAAAATGCAGCGAAGTCTGAGAGCGAGGTTTTCGCGACCATCGTGTAAAATCCTTGATCTGCCCAAAGCTCGGCCAGTCGCTACCCTCGAGCTTGTACTCTTTGTAATATGATATCCTAGCCAGACCCTTCTTTGCGGTAACTGGTCGCTTTCAGTTGGCCGAGAAATGGCCAACGGTCGGCTATAACTAATTGGATATGCCGACAACTGGCCACGTATTATTCTTCGCCCCTCATTGACTTCGCCTTTACCATGCCACCTGTTGTGAACTGACAGTTGGAGTAATTTACGACGTCTCTTTCCCCTCAAACATTGCACAACGTCTCCATTTGAGCAGCTAGTATGCGGGATTATCCCTCCGCGTATCAGCAGACTCGATCATAAATATTTTTTGGTGGAAAATATCTATAACAAGGAAGCTGATCAAGGAAGTGTAAAATTCGCAGGCTTGATGAACAATAATATACAAAGTTTCTTGAAATTTCCTCTCATTAAAACTCTTTTAATACAAAGTTTACATATTTTTTGTTACTGGTCGACGCTTATAAATAAATAGCTGGGTAAGTATGGAAAAATCCATATCGCCATCTCATTTGCGAGTGGAGTAAAGTCTATCCTAATTAGTGAAGAAACGCTTAGGGAAAAGCCGAGCCTGTTCGAAGCCTCTCGGCTTTCAATCAGGGCCTTAACGTCCTCCTGCAATAGAAACAGTCGAGTTGAAGTTGAATTAACACTACATGCACCTGAACACGTTGAGAGAGTTGAATTAACACTGCATGCACCTGAACACATTGAGAGAGTTGAATTAACACTGCATGCACCTGAACACATTGAGAGAGTTGAATTAACACTGCATGCACCTGAACACATTGAGAGAGTTGAATTAACACTGCATNATAACACCTTAAAATATTTCTAATCTTATCAGGAAAAGACAGAGCTATAAATTTATTGCTGATAAATGCCCTATTTTTGGTCCCAATAAGGCTCCGTCATCATCCATGGGCCAATCATCAATCATTTACGTATCTTATCGCACATACCAATACCAGCACTACGCTCTAGAACTGATTGAATACCAATCTAAATTAAGAAATACAGAAGAAATAAAAGCACTAGAGGTATAGCAATTTGTAGTTAGAGGGAACAATATCTACGTTTAAAATGAAGCAGAAGTATTAATATTTCAGTTTATTAAAAGAATAAATTCCTCCTTCCTCTTTATAAAGAATAAAAATAAGAATATGAATATGAATGAATGAATATGAAAGAATAAATATAAGAATATAAAGAATATAATAAGAATAAATTCCTCTTCAAATTTCGCGGCAACTCCAGCTCGCCGCGAAAAATCTTTGCTCACGGAAGTGTGAGCTTGGACATAAACTCGAGGACAGAATCCTTGAGCCAGTCAGAGAACAAATGGACGTTTGTGAAGACAGGGACGGAGCAGTCCACGGTCCGGGACGACGAGGACGTCACGCCCGACACCGTCCACGCTTCTGTGACGCTTTCGTTGACGAGGTTCTGCAAGAACGGCCCTCCTGACGAGCCTCTCACGAGCAGAACTGAGCCACCGCCTGCAGAAACAGGTCATGAAATTAAAACATTAAGTAAGTTTTAAAAATAATTATTAAGCTGATAATCCTATACCTATCTATTTCTGGTCTATTGAGCAACCGAACGTATCTGCGTCTGAGTAGCGAGTCAGCTATTGCGGATCACGACCTCGTCCTGGACTTTACCACCCTTGCCGTGGACTTTACCTCCGCCCTGGACTTCACCTCTGCTGTGGACTTCATCTCTACCCTGGACTTCGAGGGTTTTACCCCTATCGTGGACTTAGGGACCGGCTACCCCTAAATTTTCAATTTGGCGTTTTCCGGTTTTTGTGCTCATCTTAAAGCTTACTTTCTGACGCATCGAACGGTACCAGAATCATCTCTCTACGTCGGAAAATGATTTCGTAATAGCTCCCTAAAGGGGGGCGGTTTCGAGGGCCCTTCAGTAAAGTCTATGGGATTAATTCGAAGGCTGGACACACTAAAAAGGAACGTCTGACGTAAAGCGGCCAATTATGGCATTATCCGGTGCTTACACTTATCTTAAAGCTTACTTTCTGACGCGTCGAACGGTATCAGAATTATCTTTCTACCTGCATTTTGACGTACACGACGCACCGTGGAATGGGGGGCGATGGTGGGCGGCCTTCAGTAATTCCTATGGGCGTAATTCGAGAGCAGGGCTATAAATATAGCCTGCTGCAGCCAGAGCAGTCAGTGTCCATCATGACAGCGAGGTGAGAGGTATGCAGTCAGTCGCTCCATGCCTCGCTGACTTGGTTTGAGGCTTAATTATGGTATCTAGTCTACGTTACGACTCTTTTACGTCCCTTTACGTGCCACGCGGCAGTTTTTTGGGCGTGGTGTAAACCTCCTATTGCTCTCACGGCAAACCTATCTCCTCCTACAGTTTTCAAGCTACAGCAATGAGACATATACCATTCGATTCGTAAAGACCATACCTATCGACTTGGTGATCATTTTTTTTTAATTTGTGTATGGTTTGTCTTATATATGGGGGAGAAGGGGGAGGGGAGAAAAATGAGAAAAATAGGAAAAACGCGCATAAAAAACTATGGGGAAAATGAGAAAAATTATCACCAAGTCGATAGGTATGGTCTTTATGAATCGAATGATACGTGTCTCGATGTTGTAGGATGATATTTGTAGGAGGAGATAGATTTTCTAAAGTACCCAATTTTAGCCGTTTTCTATGAATTTAACGTTTTCTATCAATTTTTTCGCAAAATTCATGGAGCAAAATGTTATTTTTTTTACATTTTACGTATGTATACGAAGTTTCATGCTGATCGGCTGCTAACTCTAGAAGTTTTTCTGGAGGGTAGCCGGTCCCCTTAATCATCGCGTAAGGCTTCACCCCTCTCTTGACTTCTCCTTCCACCCCACACTTCACTATCCAACCTTGACTTCAACACAGCCAAAGATTTCTCCCTCGTCGTGGACTTCACCCCCTTCGTGGACTTTACCCCACTCTCGGACTTCTTCTCATCCCGTTTCACCTCATAAGCCTCTTATCCAGTTTTTCTGTGACATTTTCAGCTGATAACTCTGCCCAGCCGTAGTTCTTGCCTATTGAAATAAAGTCAACTTCTTTTTCTGTTATGTTACTGATATTTGTCAGCTCCCAGAGCGAAATATTCATAATTAAATACCACTCCATGATTGACCTCTGCCCTCGGCGCAGAACTGCGACTTGGAGAGCTGCAGTGTAGGACACTCGCTGACCTGCGCCCGACACTCGGGCGACACTCTCATCCCCACGACCTCGTACGCGAAACTGGGCCTTTCGAAGCTGCGATTGAATACCTGTCGAGAAATTGTCAGTAAAGCTTACTACAAAAATTATGTGTTGCGAGACGAGCAGTTAATTTCTCAGGAATAAGAGATTAAAAAAGGTAGAACCTACGTAATTTTTGTCATTTAAAGACTTCCAATGGCATTTTGGTAAGATTATTGATAGCCGAAAATCTTTGAAAGAAAATTTGATGATTACTACATAGCGAGGTGCATGTAAGTACGATATAGCGAGGTGCATGTGAGTACGGTATAGCGAAGTGCATGTGAGTACGATATAGCGAGGTGCATGTGAGTACGATATAGCGAGGTGCATGTAAGTACGATATAGCGAGGTGCATGTAAGTACGATATAGCGAGGTGCACGTAAGTACGATATAACGAGGTGCATGTGAGTACGATATAGCGAGGTGCATGTAAGTACGATATAGCGAGGTGCATGTAAGTACGATATAGCGAGGTGCACGTAAGTACGATATAACGAGGTGCATGTGAGTACGATATAGCGAGGTGCATGTAAGTACGATATAGCGAGGTGCATGTAAGTACGATATAGCGAGGTGCACGTAAGTACGATATAACGAGGTGCATGTGAGTACGATATAGCGAGGTGCATGTAAGTACGATATAGCGAGGTGCATGTAAGTACGATATAGCGAGGTGCACGTAAGTACGATATAACGAGGTGCATGTGAGTACGATATAGCGAGGTGCATGTAAGTACGATATAGCGAGGTGCATGTAAGTACGATATAGCGAGGTGCACGTAAGTACGATATAACGAGGTGCATGTGAGTACGATATAGCGAGGTGCATGTAAGTACGATATAGCGAGGTGCATGTAAGTACGATATAGCGAGGTGCACGTAAGTACGATATAACGAGGTGCATGTGAGTACGATATAGCGAGGTGCATGTAAGTACGATATAGCGAGGTGCATGTAAGTACGATATAGCGAGGTGCACGTAAGTACGATATAACGAGGTGCATGTGAGTACGATATAGCGAGGTGNTCTGTCTCTTATACACATCTAGATGTGTATAAGAGACAGGTGTAGGCCACCATCAGAGGCGTTAAGGTCGGGGCCCTGATCATTGACATGAAACCATTCCCTGTTTTTAATTAATAAAATCAATTCCTTTTTTTTTTGTTGGAATGGTGAGTGTGGGAGGCATTATAAGAGCTAGCACATGCCATGGTTACGGATGGATCTCCCCTTCTTCAGACTCAGAGATTTGCATGAAAAATTCGTTAAAATAATTTTCCTTCTGATTTGAAATGCTGAAATCCTTGAAGGCGTTTTATCTTCCGCTATCTGATTAACATTCGATCGCTGCCACGACCAAGAGAGCCACATGTCGGGTCTGAAGAGAAGAGCTGGTTGCTGACCACGCTACTATCAGTCACGTTAAAAGGACTTCGATCGGGATTAAGGCCGGAAGATAATCGCTTGCGCAGAGAGTCTGATGTTGCTGAGCTTTTGCAGACCAAATAATACTTAAATATCACGAGTAAACAATTTGATACTCAAGTCAGAAAGAAAAAAGCTGCGCTCAATTTCGTAGTGACTAGTAATCAGGAGACGATAGGTGAACAACAGCTGAAACTAATAAGGCACAACAAGCAGACACATGCACGGTACGTCGAACAGCCGCTCGAGCCAGCGCAGAGCAAGCAATTGCATGGAATCATAGACATTTACACGATATCTTTCAATAGCAAGTAACACCATTGGTCAGAGACCGCGAGTATTGTTAGGTGTTGATCAGGAATAATGCCCTGACTGCGACGAAATTGGTTATCAGGATTCACATTAGTAATGCTTAACGTTAGTGGTAGCTAATGGTAATATCGTAAATGACTTTGAAATGGACTGGAATTGTTGTGTAAATTTATTTGCTCAATAAGTAGATGTATGCAATCTGGCGCGAGGAATAATTCTGGCACGAGGAATAATAATGCATAATCACATTGATTTATTAGTTGGCTATAGGGTCGCCGAGAAATGTCGTCCTGACTTGTTAAGTAGCTCGTCTGTAAATGATTGCGCATGTAAATGGCGTTTGCCAGCTAATGAACCAGTGCCCCCAACTTGCAGTAAAATTGCGATTTAAGTAAATTATTATTATTCCACGAAGCATTTATTGTGGCGCGTGGCGTGGTTCAAACGAACTTTGAGGGCAGGTCACACATAAGATAAATAGAAAGCAAAAATAAAATTGACACAAGAAAGGATGGGAACGAATAAAATGACCAAGCACTAGATTCGTAGGCTCCGCGAAATAGTTCCGTCTTTTATAGACGTCGACGAAACGACCTGCAACGAAGGAGCCGAAGTTACGGAAGCCGGCAGACTGTTCCAGGTTCTCGCCGACGGTAGATAGACGTGTAGATGGTACGAAGAGGTCCGCTGTAGATGACGAGCGCAATCGTCTTCTGGGAGGCAGATCTGACACGCGCTGCAGACCTTCCGTGAGATAAGGAGGCGCCAGACCGTGAAGGCATCAGACGTCAGAACAGCGACCATGAACTGCGTACGCTGCTGAATGCGCAGCCAGTAAAGATCGCGCAATATCGGCGTCACATGGTCGAATTTTCGCTTATTGCACACGAGTCGAGCATCAGCGTTCATTAATTAGACCTCTATGTCCAGAAGAATTTGATCGTAAATATTCGATTCGTCGTTTTAAATTCGGAAGCCGATCAGGCCAACATGGACGAATTGACCAAGATGGCAGATCCGTATTGGTACAGTAGGCACCGGTTGCCACAGTCAGATTAAACAGCAGGACCTTCAACGTCGCTGGATCCTCAAAGCGTAATCATCTAAATCAAAAGAACCAGCTTATGAAGATTTGTGACGTAGTTTTCAAACACGAGGGTATCAGATGTTTGCACGAGAGTATGTTGTAAACGGAGCTCAGCAGCACACGTCCGCCTACAGCCCCAGCCGGCGAAAGACATCAAAATTGAATATGTAAACCATCGGAGAAAAATACATTTTCAAATTTGCTTAACTCGAGGATATGCAAACGTGACAATTTTGTCACTTTAATGCTGGAAGAATCAGTAAACCTGTCCGAGTGTGAAAAATCTGAAGACAATGCAAAATTCTTTTTATTATCTGATAATATCAGTAAAAACCGATTTTAAATTGCAATTAATTTGGGAAAAACCAAGATACGGTGCAGTATCTATTAAGTATCATTATATTGCATATTATTAACTATCGAAATATTCTTAATCCGAGCCGTTCTTACGACGGCATGGACGCGGGCGTTGAGCTGGGCGTCCGCCACGCAGGCGGGATAGAGCTCCGCGCTGTACACCAGAGGCGTCTGGAGCTCCACGAACGCGATGTCGTTGCGGGGGCTGCGGCCGGTCTGGTACGAGGGATGCAGGCGAATTTCTTTCACCTAAGATTAATAATATGGTATTTAAGATGGATTGAATGCAGAGAATATTGTTAAGTACGAGGGATGCAGGCGAATTTATTTCCCCTAAGAATAATAATATGATATTTAAGATGGATTGAATGCAGAGAATATTGTTATGTACAAGGGATGCAGGCGAATTTATTTCTCCTAAGATAAATAATATGATATTCAAGATGAATTAAACGCAGAAAATATTGTTAAGGAAAAGGGATACAGGCGAGTAACTTTCACCGAGCATTAATAATATTATATTCAAGACAGATTCAATCCCCGTAATATCGTTAAGTAATAACAAGGTGGAACATACCTGTGCCTGCTACACGTGAAAACTCTGAGCATACAATATTGTCTGAGCACAAATTATACAACACAACAAATTTTCAAATTTTTTTAGACTTTAATGTATACCTTGCTGATTGACCAAATTGAAATCAATTAGTGAATCAAATCAGCCGGTTATCATAAAATATAATTTCGCTGCATAAGTTTCCTATATGAAGGAAGCCAGAAAGTGGAACAATTGCAAGCGGCACCATAAACAAATAAATTAATAAATAAATACTCCGATTACCATAACCAAATAGGCATCAATGATTAGATGAAATATCGCTTGTTAAGGCGAGCATTTGTCTTGTCATCAATTAGCAATATCATCTCATGTCATCAAGCAATATCATCTCATGTCATCAAGCAATATCATCTCATGTCATCAAGCAATGTCATCTCATGTCATCAAGCAATGTCATCTCATGTCATCAAGCAATGTCATCTCATGTCATCAAGCAATGTCATCTCATGTCATCAAGCAATGTCATCTCATGTCTTCAATGAGCAATGTCATCTCATGTCATCAAGCAATGTCATCTCATGTCATCAAGCAATGTCATCTCATGTCTTCAATGAGCAATTTCATCTCATGTCATCAAGCAATGTCATCTCATGTCATCAATGAGCAATGTCAATCTCATGGCATCAAGCAATGTCATCTCATGTCATCAAGCAATGTCATCTCATGTCATCAAGCAATGTAACTTTTGTACAGCAGGTGTGCAAGCCACTAAACAGTGCCAGATGACACTCAGTTTACTGAAGCAGCATTTGTCCAAATTTCTGGCAAAGTGTAGTTAATTTCCCGTGCCATGACCGCGTCTCGCCTCTTCTAATCCAGCTTATCCAGGAAATCCTTGAGGTATTCAGCATAGGTCAGGTAATTAACTCTCGTCTGTATTTGTTCCGTCATTTGTACAATTTTTGAAAATTTTTATAATTGGATTACTTCTCTTAAACTTAATTTTTCATTTCATTGTAATTTATATTTTATTCATTATTTTATTAGCAAAAATTGTTGTTACTATTATTTTTGTTGGAATTATAATTAATTTCAAACTGTTTTCGGCCTAGGTATGAAGATATATAAAATATATAGTTTTTTTGTTACTCCTAATTTCGTACGACCATTCATGAGTGCGTATATCTAAAAGATCATTATTATTAGGACATTATTACTTACACATTCTTGTGAGTGTACGAGTTACTCACCTCCAGCCTGGAGTGAGCGGCTCCAACCTCAACCTTGAGACGAGTCGACTCTATGGCTTCAGTGCTGGTTTCCGGGGTCCTGAAATAATTATATCATTGAGTTATTATTTATCGAGTTGCATTAATTACTGCATCATTGAGTTAGAGTTAAGGGGACCGACTACCCTCCGGAAAAACTTCTACAGTTATTATCCGATCATCATGAAACTTCACATTCATACGTAAAATGTAAAAAAAATAACATTTTGCTTCTATGAATTTTTCGAAAAAATTGATAGAAAACGTGAAATTCATAGAAAACGGCTAAAAAGGGATAGTTTAGAAAATCTATCTCCTACAAATATCATCCTACAACATCGAGACACGTATCATTCGGTTTGTAAGGACCACACCTAAAAATTTGATGATCACTTTTCTCATTTTCCCCTTAGTTTTTTTTTATGCGCGTTTTATCCCATTTTTCTCATTTATCCCCCCTTCCCCCCCTTCTCTCCCATATAAAAAACGAACCAGACAGAAATTCAAAAAAATGATCATCAAGTTTTTAGGTAATTTCCTTACAAATCGAATGGTGTATGTCTCATTGCTGTAGCTTAAAAACTGTAGGAGGAGATAGGTTTTCCGTGACAATAAGTTGAACTTTTCAAACTTTTCTGGACGGCGCGACAAAGTCCCGTGCGCCTCGAAATAGGCACTCAATGTAGAATGGATACCAAACTACAGGCTTCTGTAGCTTAATCCACTCAAGGATGCTAGCAGCAACTTGTAGCGCACCTCTACGTACAATGTTAGGAGGGTAACTGAGCTCAGATGCCAGATACACCAAGATATGTAGTCGTGCCGCTGTAATTTTCTTAGGTCTATTTAGTTAAGGAACTCCACCCCCACCCCCCATTAAAGCCCGGCCATCTGCGTCAATATTGCAGTACATGGATCGCAGTAGTATCGTTGGAAAGCTCAGAATGTCAGCTTTAAGATGAGACCAAGCATGTAACTGCAACACAACTCAAGTAGAAACTACATTCAAAGATTTCAGCAGCTAACTACTTTATATCTAATTACTTAAAGAACTCTCCCACCCGCTTCCCTTTAAAGAGACGTCATTAACGTAAATATTGGCGTACAGCGATGGCAGTGGTACCATTGGAAAGAGCAGAATTCCAGCTTTAAGATGAGCTCAAAAACCGGAAAACGCCAAAATTGAAAATTTTAGGGTAGTCGGTCCCCTTAAGAGCACACCCATGAAGTTACTGGAGTCGTAATTTATCTAAATAATGGGAGGTATCAAATCTCTTTCAACATCGGTAGAATGAGCAACAGCGCGTGATTACACTAATACATATTACAAATATTTATAATATGAGCCTTTTTACGAACCATAGACCATCACCCAAGCAAACCCTGCACTGAGTGCTAACGTATGAATGTGTACAACTGTACTTACATCTGTACATATGCCTGCAACGTACAAGCGTACGCACACGTTACACAGTTTGCAGCCGTCAACCAACCTGGTGACACAATCAGCGGCCGTCAACCCACCTGGTGACACAGTGGGCGGCCGTCAGCAGGTACACGGGGGTGATGACAGTGGCCGTCAACCCACCTGGTGACACAGTGGGCGGCCGTCAGCAGGTACACGGGGGTGATGACAGTGGCCGTGCAGGCGTGGGCGTCGTCTCGTAGCAGACTCGCCACCCACGGCCAGCGGTTGCGCGGTCTCTCGAAGTCTTGGGTGTTGAGCACCGCGCCTGTGCTGGCGTAACGCGTGCGGCGACCGCAGACTGGGGAGAGAGAGGGGTGTGGTGATGGGCGCAGAGTGGCCAGGGGCGAGTGTTGAGGGGCAGAGTGGTGAGATGAAGAGTGGTGAGGAACAGAGTGGTGAGGGCAGAGTGGTGAGGGGCAGAGAGTGATGAGGGGCAGAAAGTGGTAAAGACAAAGAGTTAACAAGGCAAATGGGAGACAGAGGCTGAGGATATCACATGGGACGGAAGCCTGGCTAGGCTATAGTATTGCAAGACTGTGACTTATCAATAATAAATTCAACATTTGACAGGGTATCATGGAATAATTAATAATTGTACCTTCCGAGTTGAGGTAGTACGGCTGACATAGAATGGCCATCTTCTTTTCAAGCCATCCGTCCTCCTGTATGAACGGTCTCCAGAATCCGTCATCGTGACATCTTTAACAAATAACCAATCCTCAGCAAGTTTATATTATATAATATATATCATAGCAATAAACTCGGAGTGTGAATGATAACCAGGATGGTGCCTGCACAGCAGCTCTTTCCATGGAGAACGTTTCATCAGTCCATTAATACAGGTTTATAAACAATTCAGCAACACTAGACCAACCTACCAGAAATTTATGCGTTGAACAGATGGTTGCTCACAAAGAAGGGTAAGTTTTAGCAGATACTAATTATAAATTATAGTTTCAGATCATATCTGAACGAAATGCCAGCTCACAGAAATGATCCGTAGCGCCATCTCACAGATAGGATCTCCGTTCAGCCGTGGTAGAGAGAGGGCGCTCGTGCTAGTGGTCTCAAATTTCTAAATTTTTAACTTTTTACTGTGCCGTTTTCGGAACTCTTTTCGAATTTTTTTATGATCCGTGTCAGAGAATAACCGAATTTCAGCAAAAGAGAGTGCGAATAGAATGAACAAGTCTATAGTGAAAGTATTTTCATTTTAAATAACGCGGACTTATTGAGTCAGTGAGGGTTGCTTGCGAGGGTAACGTATAACTCCTCGCCCACGCGGGACAATACAGCCTTTGTTTTCATACCTACCTCTTCCTAGCCTACCTCTTCCCATGAACACCTAAGCCGCTGAGATCGCCGTTCTCTGAAAGCCGCTTGCTCTCAAGTCTGTAACAATTTGTAACAATCAAACAATTTGTACAATTTTTGCTCAACTTGATTTCGGTTTTTAACTTGTGTTTATCTAGCTCTTGCATTTCAAGATGGCTGGTCAGAGAGGAATAAGATTCATTGAAAAGGCCTCCAGTCCTGTAAAACCGAATGCGAAAATCAAATCGCAAAATGAGCGAGGGGAAATTTGTAAATTTTGCAAGCTGGTTCCGATTAACGTCAATGACGCTACAGTGGCCTGTGACCGTTTGCGGGGATATCATCTACAACAAGTATGCAAAGTTGAGCAAGACAGACTGCTCGGTTATTCACAGAAACAAGACTGTACACTGGTATTGCCAGGACTGCCAACAACCTGCACTTAGCGCTGTGAAAAGCGAAAAAATGGTGGAAGAGAAGTGCTCTTCTATGTTTTCTGTCTTTAAGGCCGAAATGGAGGAAACCATCAAACTGGAGTTGAGAAAAAGAGCCGAAATGGAAGAGAATCGCAATAAAAGAATTGAGCTTGTTGCGAAGCGAATTACACTCGTTACGAAACGAGCTGGTGGAAATGAAAGATCATCTGCACAAAACAGAAAATAGCGATAACACAGAAAGTAAAGGCCGCAAAGAGGTCATCTCTGATCTCGCCAACGAGAGCATTCGTGAACTGCTAGATAGAAGGAAAAGAAGACTTAATCTTGTTTGGTTTAACGTTCCCGAAAGCAATGATCCGGATGCTGAGTTATTACTGATTGCTGTGGCAAGGCACTTAACGTCGTTGTGAATATAACGGCATGCATGAGGCTGCGATCGAAAGACGCTACCGCCTGTAGACCGCTGCTGGTAACTGTACAGGATACAGCCCAGGTCGGACATGTGCTTAAGAGGCCCGTTCACGGACGCTCCAACTCTAAACTCGGCACCCTGGGCGAGAGCAGTGTAAATTTCAGCGGGAGCGTCTGGCAGCGTAGTGACGTGGCCGAAAGTGCGCGAGAATAGTGAAGTATGAGCTGCACATTAATTGTGCATAGATTTTTTTAGTTACGTCGAGGTAAACACTTTCATTACTATTTAAATTCTCCCTATTTCCCGAGTTAGCGCAAAATTTATCATCTTCACTGCAGACAGCGGCTTATTTTTCACTAATAGATGAACCGTTCGCTACAGACAGGAGAAATTCAGTGCACTGCGAACAGTGTCCACCAGTCTATTCTGATCATTCAGGCTGTTCATGATTATTAACAACTACGATCATTTAGTTTCTTACTGAAAAATTGACTGGCTCAAAAATACGTTTGCACATTGAAGAAATCTCCAAAACTATAGTTTAGGCTGATAAAATTATTCAATTACATTCGTGACATTGATCTGTTCACTTATCGAATAGAAAAGAACAATAAGAAAATCGTAAATAAAAAGTACGCTCTGGTCTTCAACCAAACCTGTATAAATGAAGAACTTCTGCCTAACTACACTAATATGAATAATATCTATCAAGTTCAACCACAAATATAGCTATTCCTCGATTTGCTAGATGATGGCGAGTCATTTGTTCTGTATTACAGTTAAGTAGTTCATAGAGCCTGGGCTGGTAAGGTGTTCGCGTGGCCTAGCTGGTACAGGCGTGGACATACGACGCGGAGGATCTGCGTTCGAATCCCGGAGCTACATTCGACGTTTGCAGATAGTTCATAGCAGTCAGTAATTTGATTTGTATATTTCCTCGATAATTGAATTTGCTAGATTCTAAATTACGTTGCTAAAGTCAATACGATGAGAATGTCAGTAACCAATGTCAATACAACCTGTCATTGCAAGAGAGTAGTCTAGGTGATCTCAGAGAGAGAAGGAACAAAATTTTTTAAATCGTTGTTGACAAACGGTGACGCGTAACTGCAGCGTACTCTGCCAGAGCCGCCCTAGAGCAGGCGTTGGGCAGGTTTGAGCAGGCGGTGCTCAGTGAGGGCTGCGTGACGGCAGGACAGAGCACACCTGGGCAGGTACGCAGAAGCTAATTAGCGCTGATACGCGGCTGGCGATATCGTCTCTAAAGCGGACATTTCTGCTCTATCGCTGCTCTGTCGCGTCTCTTCGTCGGCTCTGCAGCCGGCGACGGCCTGCTCTATTCCCTGCCCTAAATTTTAACTGGGATATCTCACGTGTTTGTAAACGAGTACTCACATATTTCTTGTAATCTATGCATACGGTATATATATATATATATTATTTATATATGTAGATGTAGAATAAATGACGTTTTCTGTGATGTGTAAATGTTTTTAATTTATTGATATTACCTTATCCATTTTTTCATTAAGAAGAACTATTTTTTCTGTTCTATACTAACACATTTAAGTGGCCTGTTCACGGACGCTCCAACTCTAAACTCGGCACACTGGGCGAAAGCAGTGTAAATTTCAGCGGCAGCGTCTGACAGCGTATGGTGACGTGGCCGAAGGCGCGCGAGAATAGTGAAGTATGAGCAGTGGTGGGCACAGCTAACCTAAAAGTTAGCTTCGATAACCGCTAATCCGCTAACTGAAAAGTTAGCTTCGATAACGCTAAACCGATAAATCATATACCCTGCTGAGATGGCTGTGATTATGCTTTTCCAGCCAGAACAGGCGAAACTTAGGGTGGAAGGCCGCTGCCAGCTGGCACTCCTTGTCTTCTAGGAGGGGCCCAAACCTTTTCGTGATGCCTGCCAGCATTGCGTCCACCAGGGGACTGCAGTATAGGTGTGGGCGTGGCACATGGCTTACGATACTTAGCATTAAATCAGAGGTTTTTAAACATTTTTAGCGGACTTCCAGTTGGCGGAACTAAATTTAGCGGAAGCTAATTGGTCCGCTAAAGGTTTTCAAAGTTAGCTGAACAGCTAATCCGATAAGGAAAAAGTTAGCTTCGCTAATTAGCGGTTAGCGGATTAGCGGAACTGTGCCCACCACTGAGTATGAGCTGCACATTAATTGTGCATGGATTTTTTTAGTTAAGTCGAGGCAAACATTTTCATTGCTATGTATTTAAATTCTCTCTATTTCCCGAGTTAGCGCAAAATTTCTCATCTTCACTGCAGACAGCGATACGCTGAAGTCCGCGATACGCTACCAAAGCAGAACTGCGTGTATAGACTCGAGACAACAGCAGTATTGTGTAACTGAGGACAACGGTGGAACGGATGAGTGGGATAGGTGAGGGTTGAGGAGTGATTTACTGCTGTATAGGCTGATGGCAGTGTCTGAGTGTGGTGTGTCCCCTCGTCCCCTCACCTACCCACTATAACTATTCATAACTGTATAGTTATTAGCTGCAATGTATAGTTATTGGATGCACTGTATAGTTACACGCATCTTTGTATTCTTACATAAATTTGTTGATGGACTGACTGACGGGTATCATTCATTAATACTCTAGATATTGTAACATAGCAATGTTAACTAATTTATAATTTGTAACATTGAAATATCAACGTCATTTGAATATGTACTCATGAATTCATGAACAACACCATCGTTAATCTCACAATATTTTTACTAGTTGCAAACGGATTATTTTGTTATGCTTTTATTTATTTCATCAGAAGCTCTTCCAAAAACACCAATCGCAATATTAAGTGCGAGAAATTTCAAATCATTTTGAAAGCCGACGATTGCTGCAAGCCCGGAGAGAGAGGAATAACTGTGACCATATACGATCGTTTTGACCAGGCTCCGTCAGCAGTTACCAAAATTTCCGGAATTCCATTTGCATCAATTTTGTTCTGTTGCGTGTATACGATGTGTATACACGCAAACTTGCGCAACTATAGGGTGGAGCGTTTTAGACTATAGGCTGATTCCTTCATTCCTTCATGAACCGAGGGATTCCTTCATAGCATGATCCAAAGCTCCAGAAATTCGGACATACATGAGCCTGTTTATTGATTTGGTAAAAGAATTTATGCAGGATTAACCAAGAAGCACTGCTTACGCGGGTAATTTGTCGGCGGGATTTTCCTAACCATAGACTACTCAGGAATTCGAGCGGGAAGGATGTCTCTTCCCCTCTCAAAGCTCACCCTCATCCCATTCCCTACCCACCCATATCGTAAACAATCATCTCTGTTTTACACCTAACAGCCGACAACAGTGTGAGGCTGTGAGATTTATACCACTACCACTCCAACAATACAACATAAAATCTACAGCAATCATCAATAGCAGTACGGCCACGCTCATCATCAATAGCGGTACAGTCACGGTCATAGTCAGTAACGGTACGGTGACGGTCATAGTCATTAGCGGTACGGTCACGGTCATTATAAGTAGCGGTACGGTCACGGTCATTATCAGTAGCGGTACGGTCATAGTAGCGGTACGGTAATGGTCATCATCAGTAGCGGTACGGTAATGGTCATTATCAGTAGCGGTACGGTCATGGTCATAATCAGTAGCGGTACGGTCATGGTCATCATCAGTAGCGGTACGGTCATGGTCATAATCAGTAGCGGTACGGCAATGGTCATAATCAGTAGCGGTACGGTCACGGTCATCATCAATAGCAGTATGGTCACGAAGATTATTTCTCCGTAATCATCGTAACGCATGCCATTTATTTACGACCAGCTTAACAATATTTACATATTATTGACTATGCATGCAAATATGTATTGTCATTCTTGGCCTTTTAAAAGTCACACCAGCACCAGACAAGCACTTTGAAAGCTGAGTGGACTGCAAAGTGTGGGGGGGGGGGAGAGGGAGGATGTTTACCGCGGACCCATAGAAGATTTATTACCATAGGACAGACCTGCCTTTCCTGCCAAGTACGACAACGGAGGGGCAAATCTCGATTAAATCTATGGAAAATTCACGGACCTGTTGTTAAAAACGAATATATCAACCACCAGAAAAATGATTCAGAAAGGCTTGGTATAGCGATCAATGAAGAATAACGAGTTAAACAAACTGGTAACGCGAAAATGTTAGAAAAGTCGCTCGTTTTACGATCCTCATGGTTCAAAATTTTCGTTAGCGATAACACTGGTAATACAAAGTTTACATAATTTATCTTAATGTCCACAGATTAAAAATAATTAGCCAGGATAGCATTCCAAATTTCAAATTTGTATCTTATTTACGAGGGGAGTTATCTGTCGAATTCATAGTTAAGAATCTCCATAGACGACTACCGCGGCTGAGCGCTTTGATGCAGAGTCTTAAAACACCCAAAATGACAGCATCTGTATAGCATTTATTCTGTTAGCCTATTTGACTGGGCTTGTAATTTAGCACCGTTGTAATAGGGTTAAGTGAATTCACTATAAAAAAAGCTTTAAAAATGTAGCAGAAACAGAAAGGAATATTTTAGTAAGAACCATCATATATTTTGGAGAAATAAATCGTTGTTTAGGTTGATTACTTTTCATTCTATGTTGACCGGTGCACAATTCTATCTATAACATTCTATGCACAATTCTATCTATGACATTCTATGCAAAATTTTGTGATGAACAATGATGCATTAAGTTTTCGTAAAGTGAAATATTTTTACCGAGCGATTTAAATGTGATAAGAATTCTTTGTTGTTAATCAGTGTTTTTGTTAACTTGAGCCTTTGCTAACTGATGTTCTAATGTAAATGCGTTTTTAGGGATATCCCAAATTACCCCGGGAGGGAGTGTCTCTAATTACCACATCGTGCGGAAATGGCCGCCAATTTGTTTTAGATCGAGGTACGAAAATTCTGTCAATAAAGTTTTCTAGCCGACACCTGTCTGCAACTATTTCTAAGCAAAATTTTTCAATACGGCGAATACTTTTATTACTACGGACCTTAACAGAAGTACCTACCTGTTGGAAATATAACTTTTCAACATTTTTTCAGTCTCTTTTAAAGCTAGTAAATGTATGATATCTTAATTTCTTTATGCTAAACAGATAGGAAAAATGTTGAACTTAACGCCATTTTTTTTATTTTCAGTTTTACAATATTTCAATCAGTTTTGCTTCTTTAATATTTATCCGATGTGGCAGAGGACTGTCCAGATTCACCCCCGCCCGTTCCTTATATATTACCTCGTTTGATGGTACTTCTCCAAATATAATTTTTCAACATTTTTTCCTGAAATTTTATAGAAATAGATTTCTTAATTTCCTTCAGGCTACATAGATAGGAAAAATGTTGAAATTTACGCCTCCTTTTTTCAGTTTTGAAATATGTCAATTAGTTTTGCTGCTAAAACATTTTTACGCTATGATGGAGGACTGTCCCAATTTGCCCCATCAGTCCTTTATGACCCAAATTGAAGGTATTGTTCCTCATATATGTAACTATTATAGCTGTTTGGAGGGAATGGTGAACCATAGAAGACATTTCCAGAGATCTTGTATTACAATATCAAGTTATAACTCATGATCAACAGATAAAGTTCAATACATTTGCACGAATTTCAGAAATGCTGGAAAAATCTGAAATATGATTAGTGAACTTCCTCTTGTGTGAAACTAAATATTGATGAAAAAATGACCAAAAAATTTTGGGTATAGTAATCATTTCCAATCTTTTTCTTCAGTCAGTAAAATTGTAATATTTGTTGTAGCAAAGTCAATTCCGAAAGTTTTCTTGCTGAATATTTTTTGATAGCTTTTGGATGACTGTTGCAAACAATATTCCAAAGAAATTGATTATTTATTTTTCTCAAGATGTCCCACTTTTAAGCTATGAATTTTAGGAGTTTAAGTGATCAGATTTTCTTGTGTTCATTTGTGTCATTTTCATTTATATACAGTTATGTGTAGGTGTTCCTGTTTTGGGGTAAATTTAGGCACTAAATTTTTTGTTTGAAGTAATTTATGTACACTAAATAAATCTACTGGAAAAGCATGTTCCATTACCTTCTTACATGTCTCTCAGGACGTTTTTTTTATATTTTGTTAAATATTTATTCCTTAACACAAATAATTGCTTCTGTGTGTTTGCAGAACTTGGAGTGGGAGTTGAGACTGGCAACAACCGTTCATGGCAGGTAATTAGCTATTGAGAACTCCTAGCATTTAAATCATTACCAAATAGCTGTAGCCTGTACATCAATTTCACTCTTCATACGGGCAATTTTTGGGGAGCGCAGCCGTGCACCAATTATGTGCACCAATAAGCCCTGAATCGAACGCCTTGGATCTCTCCGGACATCCATCAATCAGCCGCGAATGGAACCTGCTATCCGTAGCCGACTCTTGACATCATTCCAGCTATTGAAGAGCGCCCTGTCGGCTTTAAATTAGCAATTTTATTTAAATACAAGAAGAAGAAGTTATCAGCCGCCTGATCGCTCTAAATCCCAACAAGTCTAGGTGGACCGGACGGCTTCCACCCCAGATGGGAGCGCAGTCATGCACCACCAATTTTGTGCACCAATAAGCCCTGAATCGAACGCCTTAGATCTCTCCGGACCTACACCAATCAGCCGTGCACCACTCGGCCTTGTCCTCCTCCGGCCTTGACCACCACCTGCCGTGCACCACCAGGCTGCGGATCGAATCTGACTTCCGGGCATCGTTAAATTACGTAATTTAACGTTCACCGCATCTGAGGTTAAGTTTCAGATAGCATAGTTCTGTTCCAAAATTTATCGTCCTTCGACAAGTGACCGTTCGACCGAGGGCTGGTTCGACCCACGGCCTGGATACGGACGGCTTGAAGTATTGAAGGCTACGTTCCGGAAGGCAGAATCATGATGGTCCATTACACCCAGGGCAGTGGTGGTCTTCGGAAGGCGACCCCCCCAGATTACTCAAAGAGTTAGCCACAGTCCTAGTCGGTCTTTTGACGTCATTTTTTCGAAAAACTTTAAATGAAGGGATCTTGCCGGCTATCTGGAAAGAAGCTCAAGTGACACCATTGCTAAAAAATTAGATCAGTACTCACTGCAGTGAGTGACAGAGAGCGCATTTTCTCGTCCTTCCGTGAACTGAAGTCACGGACGGTCACGGACGGACAGCCATGGACGGACGGACATTACGAGCACAATAGCGCATTTTTGCCATAAATGAGAAAATGCGCTAAAAAGGTGACAAAAGCTGCCCGGGCAACTATCGTCCTGTCAGTTTGACAAGTGTCGTTTGCAAGGTAATGGATTGTTGTGAGGGATCGATTTGAGGATCATCTCTTATCAGATTGTCAACATGGTTTTATTGCCGGTAGATCCTGCACCACTAACTTATTATCTACGTTGAACGATTGGACTCGCCTGCTGGACGAAAGGGAGCCAGTGGATACATTGTACCTCGATTGTGCCAAAACATTTGACAGTGTTCCGCATGAGCGGCTGTTGCGTAAAGTGAAGTCTTTGGAATTGAGGGGAACGTACTCCAATGGATCAGAGAATTTTTAGTAGGTAGACGACAACGTGTCAGCATTAACGGAACCGTGTCAGACTGGGCATCAGTACGCAGTGGCGTGCCACAAGGGAGCATTCTTGGGCCTATTTTGTTCGTTGCTTTCATAAACGATCTGCCAGAAGCAGTGTCCAGCGTGTGCTCCATGTATGCCGCAGACACAAAAATTTATAATACAGTGAAGGATGCGTCAAATAAAGCGCAATTGCAAGATGATCTTGTCAGTTTAGTTAACTGGGCTGATAAATGGCAGCTGCGGTTTAATGCTGACAAGTGTAATGTACTTCTCCTCGGGAAAAACAATGAACAGCAAGATTACAGTATGAGAAGACATGGTTGCAACGAGAGAGTATTGATTGAAAAGTCTAGTGTGGAAAAAGATCTCGGAGTTTAGGTCGACAAGGAGCTGAAAGTTTCCAAGCGTGTTGAAACGCAAGCTAACACATCCAACAAACTGCTTGGACTAATTCATACGCTCATACGAGTTCCTAGATGCAGAAGCGATGAAGCAATTGTTTATTGCTGTCGTGCGCCCGAATCTAGAGTTTGGAATCGTTGTGTGGTCATCGAGATTTGAAAAGGAGAAAATTTTAATGGAGAATGTTCAAAGACGTGCAACAAGGATATTTCCAGGCTTGAAGGGCAAGTCCCATGAAGAAATATTAAAGATTATGAAGCTTCCAAGCCTGTTTTAGAAGTCTGCGTGGGGACCTCATTGAAGTATGCAAGTATACTCATGGTTTATACAAGGTACCCGAAGGATTGCTAGATTTTGAAACAAGAACCAACACCAGAGGCCACGACTATAAACTAAAAAAACTGCGCTGCAACTTCTCCACGCGACAAAATTTCTTCTCCCCGATGACAGATTCAGCCTCCCCGATGACATCGTTGGCGCTCCAAGTATGAACGCGTTAGAGAACAGACTAGATAAAGCTATGGAAAAATATATAACATAACATAGTGATGTCGGCGCTGAAATGTAGGCCTGATGTGGCCTGTCGCCGATTCTTTTCCTTTTCGTGCCTTGTCTATAAATCTAAACTCGTGTCATTTGACCGGATATTTTCATGACTGACGATAGTTTGAAGTACCTACTAGACTTCCACCGGGTTCGATGAGGAGCTAGGCATTTCAAATCTGAACATATATTTTTCAAATCTGAACATAGCTTTATCTAGTCTGTTCTTGAACGCGTTCATACTTGGAGCGCCAACGATGTCATCGGGGAGGCTGTTCCACATGTCAGTGATTCGACGCGAGAAGAAATTTTGTCGCGTGGATAAGTTGCAGCGCAGTTTTTTAGCTTATAGCCGTGGCCCCTGGTGTTGGTTCTTGTTTCAAATTCTAGTAACCCTTCAGGGACCTTGTAAAGACCATGAGTATACCTGTATACTTCAATGAGGTCCCCACGCAGACGTCGATAACTGAGGCTTGGAAGCTTCATTATCTTCAATCTTTCTTCATAGGACCTGCCCTTCAAGCCTGGAATTATCCTTGTTGCACGTCTTTGAACATTCTCTATTAAATTTCTGTCCTTTTCAAATCTCGGTGACCACACAACGTTTCCAAACTCTAGACTCGGGCGTACGACGGCAACAAACAACTGCTTCATCGTTTCTGCATCTAGGAACTCGTATGAGCGTCTGATTCTTCCAAGAAGTTTGTTGGATGTGTTAGCTT